AAAAATATAAATATAAATATAAATAAAGGTCATAGAGAAATGTCACATATTATACAAGAAAATACAAAGAAATCATACCTTTGACATTTAATTCTGGATACATATCATGAAAAATCCCACCTAGATACATATTTAGAAAATATATTTTTCATGTAATTAAGTACACATATTTATGCAATTTAAATATGGAACATCTCCATCTTACCTTTTTCTATAATATCATCTGTTTTTTTAAAGATTGTCCAAATTTGAAATCGTAAATCTCTACTTATAGAACCTGAAATAAAAAACAAAATTTATGTTAGCATATTTTTATAAAATCTTTACATTACAAATAAAAATATAAACAAATGAAGGATGAATAATAATTATTTAAAAAGCCATGTGAAAGGAGTTACAGAAGAAAAATAATATTTAAATGAGTAAGGAAAATGACTAAAAGAAGGGAGAGGAGGAAAGTAAAACAAAAATAAAGTAAAATGAAGCTTTCAGTGGTAGTTTTTATGGACTTGAAATAGCATTAAAGTATAATTAAAAGGTAAGAAATTAATTAGAAATTGACTTTTAATATGGGGCACGTTCATAGACGTTTTAAAACGGCAGTATCATTTATCTTGTGCATTTTTATTTTATTTTTTTAATTCTTCGTAATAAAAATGAAGAAAAAATGCTAAGAAAATCAACAAAATCTGAGAAAATATATAAATTCATTTCCTGATCAATGAGGCATGCCACATCAGCGGACTTATGTTCCACCTTTATATATATATATAGATTGTTTCACTTTCTAATTTCAATTTGGTTTATCTGAATAAGCAATACAAACCTTATTCCTACCTGGTGTAGTTGGTGAGACTGTTTCCTATATATCCTCGGTTCAACTTGAATTTACATAACAAATATTTAAAAGAGTAGTAATTTTGTGAAAATAAATAATAAAAGACAGAGATGATTGTTATCTTCTTACTTCTATCAGTCAAGTATCCAAAAAAACACATTATATAACTAGGACTCACACTACACTAGCATTGGATAAAAGCCATTTTATCAATAAAAATGGCTGCATTGATCTGCATCTTCATTGGTTTAGTCCACATCAAAATCATGATTTTAAAGAAAAACCAAACTAAAGTGCACTAGTCCAGCTTGTAGAATTTTTTTTTTATAAATTTAAAACTTAAAAATTTATCCTTCCATCTGGAAGAAATTTTGGAAGAACTACAGGGCTATCAGTTATTAGGATCTCAAATTTGTATGATTAAGTGAATGTAAGAATTTAAAATGCACACATGATTGTGTTATCTGTTCATAGATCAAAAGCCATTAGAGTTGTGTGAATTTTAACCAGTCGATTATACTCAAATGCTTGACAGATGACTTGTATGAAGAAATTAAAGACAAACTAAGCAGCATATACAGAACGGAAGTACCCGAGCTCTAATATGTATGTAAAATGTTCACTCTCAGTTGCTTTTCGAAGTACTGTAATCCCAAAACCAAAAAAGAAATTGCAAGTGTATATCTTCGTAAATCATCAGCTATTGATGTCTGCATTTTCATCAGTAATTGGTTCAAATGTTTGGATTTCGACCAATATGCCCATTAGGCAGTCCATTAGGAACTAAGAGTTGATTATCAGCATTTTCCTCATTAGCGCCTCCATCTTGATTATCATTATTTTCCTCATTAGCAGCACCTCCATCTTGATTATCATTATTGTCCTCATTAGCAGCACCTCCATCTTGATCAACATTTTCCTCATTAGGGCCTCCATCTTGATCAACATTTTCCTCATAAGGATCTAATATTTTACCATTAGTGTAAGTAAGCTTCTCCCTGCCACAAAATAATCATTTGTATAAGTAACACCTTACACAGCATATCGCAAATGCATAGTCTCATTTTTCCAAATTAAACTTACAACATCATCAAGAATTGTCCTTCTTCATAACGACTGCCTTGGGGGACCGCAATCTGGCGAAAGGAAAAATTATGTATAAGCAACAACAACAAAAAAACAAAAAAAAAAGGATCAAATTCTCTTTCATATTAATATCTTGCAAATTTCCACCCGAGCCGGTCCATACAGTTGACACAGAAAGTATCGACTACGGTATTGCCATCTAGTTCTTGATGATATGACTCATTCTCTGGTACTTCAATATTAAACCTGCATGCATAAATACCTCAGATTGCAGATTATTTTAAAAATAGCTAGCGTGAAATCATGATGAGACTTACATATCAGTAAAGATCCCTTTTAGCACGTAGGGTAGCTCCTGCAAAGTGTACATAAGATGAAAATAAGTAGCAAATTATAACAGAGTAGTGCTTATATTCATGAATTGAAATCAGTAGCAAATTCATCAGAAAAGAATAATTCAAGAAAGATGAAAATAGAATCCATACATCATCAGTTCCAACGTAATCTTTGAGGAATGCAACTCGAGTTCCGCATGTGCAATGGAAGTAATCAGAAGAAGGCATTCTGAATATCAAATCTGGAAAATGGAAAATTCAAGAAAGTTGAGAGAATGGATTGTTGATTCAGAAAAGACACTTCTTGAGGAGAGGGAAATTTGAACAAATTCTTTTTCTATTAATAATATATATTCACCGACTTAAAAGTGTAGAGAATAAAATACCGTTGCGTTTCTTGCTTCTTTTTCTTTCTTTTACTCACTAGGAAATACGTACAGTTGTATTTCAGTTTTGCATAACAAAAAGAGCAACTGTATTTCAACAAATGTCATTGTTATCTCAAAAATGACTCCCCATTTATTAATGCATGAAAAATGAAATTTGAGAAAAGACTCATTATGACATCCGCCAAAAGTTGAGATAATATCTCACTCAACTACGGATAACTTTCTCAAAAGTCACTCAATTATGACATAAAGTTACTCAACTTTGTTTTATAACTCAAAAGTCACTCAACTATGTGTAGTTATCTTAGAAAATTATTCAACTATTGATATTTCACATAGAACGCCACCCCACCAATTTACATAATTTTTTCATTAAATTTTGTTGACTTGAAAATTTTATTTTAGCTAAATTCTTAAGAAAAAAAAAGTTCTCATTGTAATATTTTTATTGACATTGTCCCACTAAATTTAAGTAATATATATAATACAACAAAATTTAATATTATAGTTAGTAAAACAAAATTATATCTGAAGTACCAATATAAATTATAAATACAGAAACAAACAACTCAGTAATGTATTTTTTATATAAGAAAATTAGCCTATAATTGAGTAATCAGTTAATTATGTCAACGTTTGAACAATAGCTAGACAATAACGACGATTGCGGAATTTCTAATTATATGAGTAAAATTAGAGTAGCAAATTATGTCGTCATATTTGAGTGACTGCTTTAAATATTATTTTAAATGCATTTAAATTGAAGTCTTGATAAATGCATATTACTACTATTTATGCATTTAAAATGAAGTCTTGATAAATATTACTTACTACATAATTTTAGTGGGGTGCATCAATGAAATGATTAAAATTGACACTTTTTTATTTTAAAAAAAAATCTAAATCACATGTCAACAAAATTTAATGAAAAAATGATTTAAATTGGTTAAGTGACTTTCTAAGATAGTTTAAATGGTAGATTATAGTGAATTGCTTGAATACTTGACACATGACTTGAATATAGAGAATGGTAGATCTAACAAGTAAGTGTTCAGTCTCCAAAATGAATTGATATTAATATGTACTCTAATCCCAAACCAAAAAAGAAAACAGAATTTTACACAGTTATAAATCTGGTTCTGTATTTTCATCAATACTTGATTCAGTGCTCTCAATCAGAAATTATTAGACATACAGAACCACTACGTGCAATTACAACAACCTCCATCTTCTTCAATAGCATCAAAATGTTCTGGTTCATTAAGAACCTGTTGATTCATAGGAACTTGTTGATTAACATTTTGCTCATTAGTGCCCACTTCTTGGTCAATAAGAACTTGTTGATTACTGCCTCCATCTTGGTTAACATTTTGCTCATTATTAGTGCCTTCATCTTGATCACCGCCTCCATCTTGATCATCAGTATTTTGCTCATTAGTGCCCACTTCTTGGTCAATAGGAACCTGTTGATCACCGCATCCATCTTGTTCATCAGTATTTTGCTCATTATTAGTGCCTTCATCTTGATCATCAGTATTTTTCTCACTAATGCCCACTTCTTGGTCAATAGGAACCTGTTGATTACTGCCTCCATCTTGTTCATGAGTATTTTGTTCATTATTAGTGCCTTCATCTTGATCACCGCCTCCATCTTGTTCGTCAGTATTTTTCTCACTAGTGCCCACTTCTTGGTCAATAGGAACCTGTTGATTACCGCATCCATCTTCTTCATCAGTATTTTGCTCATTATTAGTGCCTTCATCTTGATCACCGCCTTCATCTTGATCATCAGTATTTTGCTCACTAATGCCCACTTCTTGGTCAATAGGAACCTGTAGATTACCGCATCCATCTTGTTCATCAGTATTTTGCTCATTATTAGTGCCTTCATCTTGATCACCGCCTTCATCTTGATCATCAGTATTTTGCTCACTAATGCCCACTTCTTGGTCAATAGGAACCTGTTGATTACTGCCTCCATCTTGTTCATGAGTATTTTGCTCATTATTAGCGCCTTCATCTTGATCATTAGCATCTCCATCTTGATCATCATTTTCCTCGTCAAAACTAAGCATGTTCCTGCCACAAAATACTCATTTGTATCAACCCTTAAAAGTCGTACTCATTTCTCAATTTGCAAATTTATAATTAGAAACTTACAGTCTCATAAGGAATGTTCCAACCATAACATCCATGTCCGGTTGGGTGACTGCAATCTGGAGAAATAAAAACTTCAGTATTCGGAAAAAAAAAAAAGGCAACAAAATCTTGCTGTTGATGAAAACAAAATGCTCTTTTAATATTAGCATCTTACAAATTTCCACCCGAGAAGCTTTCCACATTGGACACAGCAAGAATCAGCTAAGGTAGTTTCAAATTCTGATTGATGAATATTCTGGTTGTCTACATTAAACCTGTATATATATAAAGAAGGTTTGTAACATATATATCTCAAGTTGCTGAAATTAAATTGCATGAAATCATGAGACTTACAGCCTAACAAAGATCCCAGCTGGCCACACCTGCAAAACATTAAGCATAATATTGAAATTAAGCTTAATATAACAGAGTGGAAATTAAGCATTGAATCTAAAATATTGAAATCAGTAGAAAATTCATCAAAACGGTTTGGTATTAGTACAATTCAGAAAAAGAATAACTCAAGAAGCAATAGAGAGAAAGAGTGAGAATCCATACCTCAACAGGGGCATTCTCGATGAATGCAACTCGAGTTCTGCACTCACCGCAATAGATGGAATCACAATCCTGTGGGATTTCCATTGAGTTGAAGACAAATATTGATATAGAATAGTAATGAGAAGAGAATGTTGATATATATAGAAATGGGAATGAGAAGAGAATATTGGTATAACTATATATATATATATATAGAAATGCCACTTCTTGATTCTTGAATTTACCGTTAATTCAGAAAGGAGGGAAATTTGAACCCCAATTGAACAATGTATCGATTGTTCAGTTTACCCTCCAATCGATACATTTTTAAATTTCTGATACTAATTTATTCACATTTTATCTTAATCAATCATATCTATACACCGACTTAAATACCCTTTGCTGTCTTTTTCTTTTTCTTTTCCTTTACTTACGAGAAATACAGTTGAATTTCAGTTTTGCTTAAGAAAATGACAAAATTGTTAAGTGAATTTCAATCTCAAAAATCAGAAATTTTGCTCAAAGAAAGATACGTTATGGATCCAATTAGAGGTGACAAAATTAATCTATGAAAAATGACCCCGCCATTTATTAGCTCAGCCCATAAAAAATGTGATACCCTGCCCATTTGAACATTGGAATTAACTTGTACTTTTGAAATAAGACTAAGACTTCGTAGCATATAAGGAAGGATGTTTTGTGAGTTATTTTAATTGTACAAAGTCCATATGTTAAGTAAAAGTCAAGAAAGCTGCGAAATAAAAGTTGACAAAGGTTATGGTAAATGTAGTTAAGGTATTCTCTGAAATTTTGGTGTTGATTTGCCCTAAGTTTTTTACCATAATTGGATTTTCCTTTTAGGAAAAGAAAAACACAAAGTCTCCATATATATATGGCTAACTCTTTTCTTGTAGGAAAATGTTTATGACATTATAAGTAGATGTTCATTTCTTTTAATTTGGTAGCATTCACAATGTAGTCTTAGGGGCTTTGAGAGTTTTATGTAGGGGGAGAAACAGTGAAACACAAGTGATACGCTATCACTTGTGTGAACCTCTTTTTATTTCGAGTGAATTGTGTGAGGTTACTTCTCTCAATAGTTTGTATTCTCATGTTTATATAGTGGATTGTTCATCTCCTTTGTGGACGTAGGTTGATTGACCAAACCACGTTAAATCTTTGTGTCTTTTGATATATTTCTCGTTTGTCTTCTTATGGTCTTTCGAGGTTGGCTTTGTTAGCTTCCACATGACACCTAATTATTTCGGTCCTAACAGTTGGATTGAACGGCATGAACGCCTAGTTATGTTGCCTCGGGATCTTGTCGCTCCTTTAAGATATTGTTGGAATGTATTCAATGGATTTAATTGCTAATTATTGTTGTTATTGGCCATATTGGCCTTGCTTGCTAGTTGGTTGATGTTTGATAGTTGTTTGACATATTGTTTAGATACATGTTTGTTTTTAGTTTTGACAGTCCACATAACGTTTATGCTTTCCAAGATGCCATGGTAGCCTCGACGGCGCCAACATGCTTGCATGCTATCTAGTTATTACTTTATATAAATCATTGAGAGTAGTTGTTTTCTTTGTAGATCTGTTGTCAGGGGCCTTGCTAGTCGAGGACTTATTTTTACGCTGAGATATACTTATTTGATTTCTTGACTGTGTGTGGCTGTGTAATGACCCTCTTGGTCATTTCTGTGTCTTGCCTTCTGTGTGTCGTTTAGAGCGTTCCTGTAGCGACCCCAAGTCATTTATGACTTGCTGGGACTGACAGTTCGGTCACCTGGTCGTTCGTTTGGTCTTGGTGTGAGTTTTTGTGTTTTGGAGCTTGTGAATCTTGAACGATCATTTTCGATCAAAAGTTCAAGAAGATGACATCGTAATCCAATTCTGACGATTCCATCAGCTCCAGAAGGGTCATTTTAAGCTAGTAGCCTGGTCGACATGACTCCCGAGATTTTCAATGTGAGTCGGTGCAATTAGGCGTTTTAATCTTTGAATTTTGGCTTAAGTTTGACTTTGGTCAACATTCTGAGCAAACGCACTCGGATGAGAATTCCGTCAGTGCGGTTAGCTCAGGAATGTCGAGTTTGTCTAGATTGACCCTTCTTTTGTGTCCCGAGGTTTCCAATATCCTTTCGACCCCTTTTTGTGGGTTTTGACTTAAAATGGCTCTTGGAAGTGGGACCCACTTTTTATCGAAATGACCTCTGATGGAAATTTCGACTGCGCCGTTGAGTCTGGAATATCAAATTTGGTATGGTTGCATATTTCGTTTGCGTACACGGGGTTCCGAACGAGATCGGAGTACCCCGTCGGGGTTTTTAGTTGGAAAAGTTGCAGAAAATCTGCATTATATATTGCAGATTTTCAGCAAACTTTTCCAAAACTTCAAACTCTCTTAACTCTCTCATCTCTCAACCGATTTGGGCGATTCAAAAGGCAAAGTTGTGAGATATTTCGAGGACAACGTGTTGGTGAGCTCGGATAGTGATTTGGGGTTCCCGTTTGAGGTAATTTCGCGA